AATTAAAATAAGACTCATCAATTAGCTCAAAATAAATATACATATTCAGGCAATTGTTGTTTAGGTTTGACTGCCCACGCAGCGGAAAAGCGCCTACGCACTCAAAAAAGAAAAATCAACAACAACAATAACAAAATTGATTTGCGTTTCATTAATTGAGGTGCAAAATGAAAACTTTTGTTTATCTCAGTTCTTTTCAGTTTCTCGACTTCAAGTGTTTACGCAAAAATTACACGCTGCGAAAAATAAAGTAACGAAAAAAAAAAAGAATACAAATGGAAAACGTAATTAAAAGCGTGTGTGAAATAAATTGCGGCCAGCCAGAGTTTTCAGATCAACAAGTATAACAACGAAAATTAATGAAACTTCTCCTGCCCGATGCGCACTTTCGCCCTGGGTGTGCACACTGTGTGGGAAGCGACTGTAGTGCAAGACAAAATGCCGTTTCAATTTGAATAAATTACAACAAATGAATGCTTGAGCAATGAGCTCAGCTCAGCTGCATAGCGATACTCTACTATATACAACTATCCACATTGATATGGAAGTATTTTAATTACTTTGAAAATTATTTGTGCAATTTCGACGTTTTGTCAGCTATTTAATAGAAAGCGGTTTATCTCTTGTTTTTTTTTTTTTTTTCAATTTGGCTTTTTCTGCAGCTATGACAAAAAGCAAGTTGCATTTTTGTCGCGTTTGTTTTGACATTTTAGGCAAAAGGTGAGAGCGAGATAGCTGTTAATGATAGACATGCAATCCCTGAAGCAAGACAAAGTGCTGCAAATATGGCAAAAATATAAAACAACTGCAAATGTGAGCATAGATAAGTCTGCGTCGATATGGGCAAAAGAAACAGGTAGAAATTACACAAAGATCAAGCGACGCAAAAAGAGAGACCGACAGAGAGAGGCAGAGCGAGCGGACTATTCGGAAATCAAGAGCGCCATGTTATTGTAACGCAGAGAGAATGGCAGCAGTAACATAAGAGCATTAAGAACTGCGCTGCTAAAGCAACTTATGGAATTTTGGCAGACAAATTATGTAATTAGCAGCAGCTAGCCGTGTGTACCTGCATAGCTAACAGCAATCTTTACAGCATGGATCATGTAACATGACGAGAGAACTACGTTATTACAGCGTAAAAATGTCAAGAGAACGGAGAACACTGTTCGCTCTGTTTGGCAGGCAGCCAAGCGGCGGCTCTTTCGATGTTTTCGTTTCTGAATTGTTGTTTTTGTTGTTTGTGCGTGCGTGCGAGCAARCAATGTTTTTACCTTCGCCTTTGCCTTCAATATTTACCGTCTGCGAATGTTAACAACAAATATTTGATGAAAATGAAATCTAACAATTGAATGCCCGTCGGGCTGAGCATTTAATAATTTACTGCGCATAACAATGTTAGGCGGACAGGGTGGACAGCGGAATAGTTAATGTTGTTATTGTACTTTTTTTTTCGTATGTTTGCTTGTTCTTGTAGTTTGTTTTTTTTTTTTTTTTTTTTCTTACCATTTGTTTTATCAGGCGACACTCCAAATACACGTAAAGATAAGCAAAAGCAGGAGTTCAAAAAAGGTAATAAAGAAGCACAGTGACCGGAGAATCATAAATCTGGCACGCTTTTCTGATTTCTTTTTTTTTTTGGGTCGTTTTCGGGGGATTAACAAAAAGATTTTTCAACTGCACTCGAAGCGCTTATCAAGAATATGTTTACATTACAAGAGTATGATAATAAATATACATTTTAATTAAGTTTACTTTTAAATTCTTCTGCTTCTGCTTTTGTAGTTGTTTGCTTTAGTGGCGGCAGCATTGCTTTTGATGCTATGCTTTCTTTTTATATACAGTTTGGCAAGAAAGTGTTTACACATAGGGAAAAAATTTTAATTTTTTACTTTGAAGCGAAATAAAAGCATTAAGAATATGCATATTCAATTTTTTTTAAATGAAAATAGGTAAATTAGACTATAAACTATATTAGTAAGTAAAAAAAATTACAATATGTTTCCATTAACAAAAGAAAATAACAAAAAACAAAAGAAGTAACAAAAATCAGCTGACAAGAAAGTGTTTACACAACTAAAACAATTAATTCATTATAGTGTTTTAACTACTTTTTAGTTAAAACTAATCATTTTTTTGGCCACCTTTGGCATCTATGACTGCTCCCAAGCGTCTATTCATCGATTGGACCAAGTTTCTNAGAAACTTGGTCCAATCGATGAATAGACGCTTGGGAGCAGTCATAGATGCCAAAGGTGGCCAAAAAAATGATTAGTTTTAACTAAAAAGTAGTTAAAACACTATAATGAATTAATTGTTTTAGTTGTGTAAACACTTTCTTGTCAGCTGATTTTTGTTACTTCTTTTGTTTTTTGTTATTTTCTTTTGTTAATGGAAACATATTGTAATTTTTTTTACTTACTAATATAGTTTATAGTCTAATTTACCTATTTTCATTTAAAAAAAAATTGAATATGCATATTCTTAATGCTTTTATTTCGCTTCAAAGTAAAAAATTAAAAATTTTTCCCTATGTGTAAACACTTTCTTGCCAAACTGTATGTATGTATAATTATTTTTCATTATTATTCCACATGACAACTGCAACAACAACAACTGCTGAGCAAAGGCGGCTAAAATTTTAGCGGAAACCGGAGCGAAAGTTTTGGTCTTTTTTTTTTTTTAAGCTAAAACGTGGGAGTTGCACGTAAGAAAATCGACAAATAGAAGAATAAGAAATAAAAACAAAAAAAGGGCGCAGCTTTTTATTGCTTTTCCTTCAAATTAAAAGAACTGAGAGAGAAAACAAAACCAAACCAATGAAGCGCAACGAAAACTAAATGCTCTGCCAAAGTAATTAATTAGATATGAATAATTGATTAATGATATTCCGTTAACGTTTAAGAAACTAATATAAGTTAAAGATGTTGAATAATATATTGTGCCAGTACTGTAAAATATTCATGTATATATATGTATATATGTATAAACATTTAATATGATTTTCTTCAATGATTTTCTGAATTCTTTCATAATTTAGCGCTAGGATATTGACTCATCTATAGCATTAGTCAAATTGGTTTTCTATTTATATATGTGATACGAGTAAAACAACAAAATATTGAATTTACTAGCAATTTTGATTAGATTCAAAAGAAATCATGATAAAATGTTAAAATTAAAATATATATGGTAAACAAAATTAAATATAATTCGTGGAATATTTGTATCAATATTCATGGATTGAAATATACTATGCAAAATAATTTATAATAAATAAAATTTTCATTTCATGGTTTTCTATAATTCAAATTTGTATGGAACTTTTACATTATCATTACAAATTGTATCCCCTTTTATTGCTTAAATAATTCAAATCAAGATTTCTTATCTAGTATAAATACAATAAAGGCAAAGGCTTTTGATTTATGAGCGAAGCCTTAGGATTATAAAGGCAAAACACACACACTCTCACACGAATGGATATAATATACTTAAATATTTAATAAATCATAACGCGACAAAAACAAAAAGAAACAAAAACAAGCAACTCAACTCAAGGTGTTCCATGAGCGTTTTAAAACGCGTCCACGCGCCAAAGCCGATTAGCGGGCGAATTGTGGGTGAAAAGGATACGAATAATGTAAATGTTAATGCGGCACGCATTAAAGAGAGTGTAAGTGTGTTAATGGCTGTAAGTCGTAGGCCGACTTGGCAGGCGAAAAGCGCACCAAAGCGAACGTGTGAAAGGAAGCGCAAAAAATGACACACAAAATGCACAGTTTTTGTCTGTTACGCGCGACTGCGTTAACAGCAGGGCGCAGGGCGCTGGGTGGGCGTGTCACTGTAATGGGAGTGTCGAGAGAGCCAGCCAAACACGAAGGGAGACGTGTAACTGCCGAAATCAATTAACAGGCATAAGGAAGATCAAAGCTGCGCTCAACTGGAAAAGCAAGAACTAGAGCAGGCGACTGAGCGAGACAGAGATAGAGATGAAGAAAAAACAGTTACTGAGAGTAAAATAAATGGAAATCACGTCGTATGCATAATTTGCACATCGAGTGAAAAAAAAATAATATAAGAACGCAAGAGCTGAGAGTGTTAATATGAGAATAGGCAAAACATGAATTAAGCACAGTATGCAACGACGAAGCTCGAATACACTTTAAATTATTGAAGAATATCTTTTAATGCACCTAAGATTATATTAGGAAAATTAAATTAATGTGAGAATATTATAAATTAAATTAAATTATTTAGGAAAAATAATTTAAAGATAAATATCACAAATCAACTAAAATTGTATATCTTTTAAATAAATTTAATTGAATGCTGTGGGATTATCTAATTAGTTTGTAATTAAAGTCAACAAAATAAATAACCTATTACAAAAGTTATACAAGTTGCTTGGCCAAAATGTATCACACAGCGAATGGACCTTGTTTGTTTTTGGCACACCAAACAGGGGAGCGGCTGGCTCATCATCCCATCTAAGGGGGTTGATGACGTTGCCCGAGACAAAAGCCATAAAAACTATGTGTTAGTAGTTGCTGCCAACCGACAAACCGAAATGGGTGTCAAAGAGAGGAGAGCAAGGAGAAAAAGAGCAGGGGAGGCGCAGGGGGAGGTGTAACAGGAGCGTAATAACTACAGAGAAAGCGCACTGGAATGAACAGCTATGATTTAAGCCTATTCAAATTGTCCGAAAGGAGAGAATACAGATAAATATTTAGAAAATTGTAAGAATAGGGAAGGGAGTGGCAAAATGGATTATTTTTGACTGAAATAATTTGCTTTGTTCATTAATCGAGTGCCCACTGTACACACATTCCCATTGTTAAGATATGGATAATGGGCAAAAAGAAAATGGAATATTTATTATGTGGCCTTTTCGACATTTTCAATAACAATTTGTGGCGACGCTCGTTAAGCGAGTCTTCACTGTACAGGCAGCATGGTAAATTGTTGCAGTTATGGCTTTTTTCTTTCTTGATACTCACCAAAACATTCTTTTGATTCTCTTTGTCCAGAAGAAATTCCATGCTTTTGTGTGGCCGACGCACTGAAGCGATTTGCACGCCGTTGGACTGTGCTGATGGCTTAATCCGCTGATTGTTACCATCCAGATGGCCATCATTATCATCATCGTCATCATGGTGGCCATCATAGACAGCGCTGGTGACATTCAAACGCTTCACCAAATACCGTTTGTGCAGCGGATTGCTCGTGATGTCCATCAGGGAGCGCGTTTTGCCCGTTATCACCGTTTCGTGTGTGTCCAGATTCGTTTCGATGAGGCCCATTTTGCCGGCAACAGCATCGCTGTCATCCTCCATGGGCAGGGGCGACACGGCCACCGGCACGGCGGTGACCATGGTCAATGGACGCGACTGTATGCCGCCGGCGCCCAGCTGATTGAACATTTGCGTCTTTTGTGCCACAGAGGCGCGCGATGGCGATTCGGTTGCACGTGCCGTATCCATAGCCGTATCCGTTCCGGTTAGCGACAGTTCGTGTCGCTGGCCCGCTGTCAACTGTTTGGCGAATGCCGCATATTGCGCCCGTTCGGCGGCCAATAGAGCATCGCTGGCATGGGCAGCACTGTTGGCGCCATTGGCACCACTGGCCACACTATACGGCGCATGCGTTTGCCGTGGTGGCAACTTGGGCAACGGGGGTTTGCCCGTCACCAGCTTCTGCAGTGTCGATGTCTTTGGCTGCTCCAGCTCAGCTGACGCGGTCGTCGTTGTCTGACGACTGTGAATGCTGGCCGTGCTCGCCTGAGAAACGCTGCTCTCATCCAGCAGAGTGCTGCGCGGCGGCTTCAACGGTATGTGAATAATATCCTGGCTTTTGCCATTGCTTTGGGGCACTGGCTTTGAGCTCTGCTTGCCTATTGGCTGCGGCTGTTGTTGCAGCTGTGGCTGCGGCTGCTGTTGCTGCTGTTGCAGCTGCTGTGACTGTTGTTGTTGCTGCTTCTTCTTGCGGCGCAGCGAGAAGCGCAGACCGTGAGCGAAACGCGATAGGAAACTCTTTGAGCTGGGATGTTTCTCGTCCGTTTTGTTGGCGCGCTGTGCGTGCTTCGAGGGCGGCGACTCGTTGTTGTTGGCGCTGACAATATGCGCTGGCGTCGCGGCCGGCAGAGGCTTGGACATGTTGGGATCGTCGTCGCTGTCGTAGCGCTGCAGCATCTGCTGCGAGGCGTAGAGTATTTGGTGGGCGCGATTTGTGGGCGGTTCACTTAGGATGGGCAAATGCAGGCTTAAGGGGCGTGTATGTAAGGGCGGCACAGGCGTAACAGGCGTAACTGAAGTGACTGTCGTAACTGCCGTAACTGTATTAACGATCGCGCACGATGAGCTCGCGTCGACGCGCGTTTCAAGACTGACAGCAGCGGACGCAGCTGGCACAGCAGCGCCGCTTGAAACGGGCTGCGGCGATGTTTGCTGTTTCGTTTCCACAGTGCCGGCGATGTTTTCATTGTTTTCATCGCTCTCAGTGTTTTGGTCATCGATCATGCTCTCATGCTCATGATTGTGCTCACTCTTACGCTCACGCTCACTCTCCCTCTCATGGTTTGCGCTCTCTGGCGCTCTTTGCGGTGTTTGCTCTTGCGCTGGCTGCGCCGCTCTTAGCTGTTGCTCTGCGTTGTAGCGCGCTGCTATGTTTTCGTTCTCTTTGGTGTTAAATATAACAGTGGCATCGTTATCCAACAGCTCCTCCTCATCGTCGGCAATATCGTGCTCCTCATCGCTGCTCGTCTGCTCGTGCTCCTCCTGCGGCTCCTCTGACGACTGCTCCTGCCAGCAATACTTACTCACCACGGGACAGAAACTCACCTCCTTGCTAAACGAATTACGTGAGCCAGCCGGCAGGAGTATGCCCAGTGGCTTCGGCTGCGTCGGTGTCTGCGGCAGCTGATGCATTGAATTGTGCGCACTGCTCACATATATATCATCCTCCGTCTCCTGGCCGCCATCGTAGGCCGACAGATTGGGCGTGCTGCTGACCAGACTGCGCTGCTTGGCCGTTGTGCTCTGGAAGCGTCGCTTGGGCAGCGCTCGCGTTGGCGTCGTCGGAGCTCTTTGCACCTTGGCAGTGGGCAGCTCGAAATTGCATTGCTCCAGCGACTGGGCGTAGGAGGTGCGCAAGTTAGTGGGATCCTGGTCGAAGGTCTTGCCGAAGCTGCTGAAACTGATGACGGCGGCAGCGGGCAGCGCAGGTGATACTGCTGATGTGGCTGCTGCTGCGGCAGGAGGCGTTGCTTCCACTGGACTCGGAGCCTGCTCCACTGTGTGCCGCTTTTGACGTGCCGGCGGCTTCCTTATGGTCAATTGGACATGTTGCACTTGCGGCGGTGCATCCATCACATCCTGCTCCTCCTGCTCGGCTGTTTTGTCATTCAAGATGGACGCGTTTTTATCATAGATCTGACTCAGCTCGTCCAGCAGAAAATTGCCCTTGCAGATGAGCTGGTCGTAATCCTCGCCAGAAACAATGCGCTTACGTTTCTCCATATCCAAAGAGCTGCGCTTGCAATTCTCACTGGGATCCGTGTAGTCGAGTAGCGTTAAATTCTGATAGCTCGCATTCAGATAGCCAGCACCGGCTCCTGCTCCAGCTCCTGCACCTGCTCCTGCTCCCGCTGCGCCACCAAAGCCGCAACGTTCGTTCCAGCTGCAGCTGCGTCGTATGCGCGGCAAGCTGCTGCAATCGAAATTATCCAAATCCTCGCTAGAGCTGTGCCCGTCACTGCTATGGCAATTCCTCTGCTGCTGCTGCTGTGGCTGTGTCTGTTGCTGGCGACGTGCGCGTCGACGTCTGCCCAGCTGCTGCAGCTCGTTGGGCACGCTGCCGCCTGAAGCTGTACGCACCAACACTGGCGAGGAGGATGAAGAGGAAGAGGAGGAGCCGCTGGTGCTGCTGCTGCTGCTGCTGCTGTTGTTGCTCTTGTTGTTGGCCAGCACGTAGCTGTTGTTGTCCGTTGGAAATTTGGGCGACGAACCTCGCGGCTCGCGTATATCGGGCAAACTGTTGCGCAGCCAAGTGAACGAGGCGGCGGACGATGTTGAAGACGATGGCGACGACGACGACGTCGCTGATCCGCTGGGCGATGGCGAGTGTGTGTCTCTCTCGCTGCTATTTATAGACAATGTCGGAGAGCCAAGAGATGATGTGGATGCCGACTGTATCTCGTTTGTCTGCTGCTCTATTTTTGTCTGACACAAATCATTGGAGTTTTTGGAATGTGCCCCTGCTGCTGCTGCTGCTGCTGCTGCTGCTGCTGCTACCGCCGCCGCTGCTGCTGCCTGCCCTGTGGCTGCCTCATGCTCCAGCAGCAGCTCCTCCTCCTCCTCGCAGAGCTTGTCGAAATTCTTTGGTATGCTCTTGCTCTTGCTGCGCCGCAATGTGCTCGGCTCACAGTAGCCCGAATCCTCAGACAAATTCTCCGCCGAATTAAGGGGCAAACGTCGAGCACCGGCCGCATCTGCATGTTTGCCTGGACAGGCGCTGAGCATGCTGTGACCGCTGCTATCGCTGCTGGACGAGCTCGAGCTTGTGCTGGACTCCGAGTCGGATTTCAGCTCAGCTTGATGCAAACTCTTGCAGGCACCAAACAGTTCACGCTGCTGCTCCTCCAAATCCAGTTTGTTCAGCTCAAAATACGTCTGATGCAGACGGCCATCGCTCGACTCGTAGCGCTTCAGCAGGGATGTGGCCGATCCGCGACGACTGTCCGGATTGCTGTGACTGCCGTTGGTGCCGCCGCTGCCGCTGCCGCTGCCTCCGCTGCTGCTGGCCAACGTATCGCAGCTGAGCAGCGAGGGCGAACTGTTGCCCAGACTGTTCATGCTCTGGTGCTGCTCCTGCAGCGTCATCTGTCGCTCCAGCGACTCGAACTGCACCAGCGAGGAGCTGCGCGACAGCGAGTTATACGAATCGTTGTCCGAGTAGAAATCCTCAAAGTTTCCGCCGCGCCGACAGCTTCCCGTGCTGTTGCGCTGACCCTGACTGCCGTAGCTGTCCCGGGCGCTGGCCTCCAGCGCCAGGAAGCGCTCCAGACTGTTGTGCGCCTCGGCGTCGTAGCGCGGCGGCGGCGGACGACGCAGCTGCACCACATCCTCTAAACTGTGCGGCTGCTGTGACTGCGACTGCGACTGTGGCTGTGGCTGTTGCTGCAGCTCCTCCAGGGAGCGGCGCGCTCGCTTGGGCGGGCAGGCAAAGTCGCGTTCCGACATTGCGTCGATATCTGCAATCGAAATCAAATTAGTTCAAAGTAAATCCCACTCTTTGTATATATGCTCCAACTAACCCTTGGTAATTTCGACTCTTATCACCGAGCCCGTCTCGGACTCCGCGGAACTCCAGAAGCCGCCGCAGCTGCTGCTGTTGCGCTGGTCGTAGCCATTCCAACTGTTCTGAGCGTGCTCCTCATCCTCGGAGGTCTCCTCCATGATGGGCTCCAGCATTTGTCGCGAGCTGGACAAGTAAATGCCATCTGTAGGGTGGGAAGAAAGCGAGATTAGTTATAAGCAATATATTCATTTTAAATATTCTTTAAGATGTAATTTTAATTATCATTGTCATAAATATTGTCGTTATAATTATCGTTGTTATCGTCGAACACTATCAGTTTTATTAGGGTTCTTCTTCTTGTTATAATTATTTTTTATTGTATTAGAATTATTGCTCTTGTCATGATTATCTTTATTACATTGTTTATAAATACTATAAATCTTTATCCATATCATTGTCATTTCCATTATAATTGTCATTGTCATTGTCATGGTCATTGTCATTGTCATTGTCATTGTCATTGTCATTGTCATTGTCATTGTCATTGTCATTGTCATTGTCATTGTCATTGTCATTGTCATTGTCATTGTCACTGTCATTGCTATTGCCATTGCCATTGTCAATGTCATTGTCATTGTCCTCATCATTATCGTTGATCATTCATTGTCCTCATCATTATCATTGATAATTTTCATTTTATTTTCACTTGAATTTTCTGTTCTATTTTTATTTTTATTTAGTTTTATTTTAACTCCAGCGCACTTAGCCACTTGCGCATCTTTTGCAGCTCCGTCTCCAGCTGTGCCTGCAGCAAAACTGAAGCACAACACGACAATCCACTCACAGATACAGACACACACACAGGCAGGCCAGGCCCTGGGCCAGGCACAGTCACCGAGCTCCATTTACCGCAGCAACTGCAAATGCAATTGCAAATGCTGCGTCTGCTTCTACTTCTGCTTCTGCTGCTGCCTCGGCTGTGATCTTATCGCTCAGCGCCCGCATCGGGATCGCGGCTGGCTGGGCCATCGCCTGTGTTCGGCGTGTGTGATTCATGCCGCTTAATTATGCAATTTATTAATAAAAACTCGTCACTTCAGTTGGTCAAGCTAAACAGCTGAGAGTCGGCACTGCGCGAGCGACTTCCACCTTGTTTATACACCCAATGACACTAGCTTCTGATTAGTTTAAACAATAAAGATGCAACTTTATGAGCAGTCGTGCGGTCATAAATTATGCCCCACACAGTGATCGCTCGTAAATCGAGAGATTTTTATTTCGGTTGACAATTTCTAGTTTTTGAAATTTTTACTCTTGTGCAGGGTGTTTTATTCGGTTACCAAATGTGTAATATCTTATAAAACACATTCACCATCCCACGAATTTTATATACTCCTCGGGCTGTAGAGTGAACTTACTAGCTATATCTGTTTGAATTTCAATAGTTATTACATTTAATATTTAATATTTTCTCAGTATATATATGAAATAGAAAAAAATAAACTTCAAAAGCAACTTCAAGCTCTTTAAATATAAATCTGTGCTGTAATTATTTTAATTATAATTTGAGTTTTAACTTTTACATTTATATTTGCACTATTTCTGAATTTTGGATTTATTTGTGATCGATTTTAGAACAATACGAAAATGTTTTATAGCTCACTAAGTTAATTAAAAATACAAAACTTTTTCACTGTTCGTTATCTACTGTCTTTTATTGCCCCTGATTAAAATATCACAAAAGTAAGCATGAAGTTCATTGATTAAATTCTTAACCAGATAATCTGTTTCTTTTTATTACAAAATATAATGTCAACGTGACGCAATATACAAGTGTAGTTCTGTTTATGAATGGTTGAGGGCTAGGTTAATGAAGGTCACTGAACCATTCTATTTCATTCACTAATATGTATTTATCTCTTTTAATAAATTCATTTTAATTATATTACTATATTTTATTATATTATTTACCTTGCTGTTCGAATCCGCCCAAATTCCAATTAAGGGGCGTGCTAATGTAGCCCGCCAGATCCAAGTGTTCCATGTTGAATGTGGCAAGTCTTGTAGCGAATTATTTAATTACTATTTTTATTTTGTATATTTTCTTGTTAGATTGCTATGCAGTTCTTCCTTTTGTCTTCTACACTATATATATAATGTATTTATTTTGTATCGTTGTTGCAATGCTTAGTCTCCAAGTATCACATCGGTTCGTTTCTGATTCTTCAGGCTCTCCTCATTGAATGCAACTGGAGCATATATAGCACCATTTATTTCCATTTACCTTATCGCAAGTGTATTGAATTTTTGTGCAATTCGGCGGCAGCATTCGGTACAGACTTTTGTTGTATTTTCGATAAGCGAAAACGATATCTGTAAGAAAAACAACCAAAACAAAAACAACAACAAATTAAAAACAAAACCAAACAGCGACAACGGAACGTTAGCACAAATTGTTGATAAGAATGAGAGTCATATAGTTATATATAATAGACAAAGAGTATTTGTATATTTACTGCATTCTAACTGAAAATCAAAGTGCAAATCAGTTTTAGAACTAATTTAGCACCGTTTAGTACAGTCAAATGTACTATTTTTAATGCTTTTTGGCTCAAATTACTATCTTGACTGACTTCAGCTATTTTCGTTTCACTTTTACATAATTTAGTACACTTTATAGCTACTATTGACTGTCTGATTATCATAGTTTGGAAAGTAGAGCAACAGATTATCATCTATCAATTTTCTGACCTCAGCTATCTTTGAGGGCTTAGCAAATTTTTGCACAGTTCTTATTTTTAGTGTCAATCTCCAGATTATAAAATTTTAGTACACTTAATTACATCACTATTATTAACATCAACAACCTTCTACAACGATTTTAGTACATGCCAATAGTTTGAAACTTTTTAGCACAGCTAAATGTTGCTATTATTGCCTTTAGCTACTTCTCATAAAATCCGTAGACTTAAGTGCTCTTTAAATTTATCATAAATCATATTTGTAATTTCGAATGTCTTTTAAGAGCTTAGCATATTTGAGTATAGAGCCCCAGGTTTTATTATTATTGACTTCAGTTTCAAGCTTCCCCATTTTACTACAGCTGAACGCATTTTAGTACTCAAAGCTTAATGTTAATATTTATATTATACTTCAAACGTAAGATGTAATTTTAGTACATCTCAAAATGAGCAGCATTTGAAAATTACATACTTCTATTGTTTTCTATGAATTTAGTAGCATTTAGTACAGCTCAAAGTTAGGTAATGTATGCAAATCTAGCCAAAAACTTATAAGGAAACGACAGCACGCCTTCAATATATAATTTAGCACGCTCTTAGCACGTTTCGATGTGTAAGCATCTGATATAGTATATAGTAGTGGAAGCTGTTACCCCTTTATGATTATTGAGTCGGGGGCGATTTTAATTGCTCCAGCCGAATGCTAATAAGTATTTCTGTATGCCCGGCGCACATGGCGTATACTGTATAGGAATACGTGAATATATATAAGTATATATGTATATATTTGAAAAGCGTTGCCCCTCAAAATGCAATGCACTGTGGGCGATCGCAAATCGAATCGAGTCGCAAATTGTTTGCTTCATTTGCAGCTGCTTTTCGTAAATATATTATGTATACAATATTATTTTCAATTTATAGATTTGGCTTACGATTCTTATTTTAATGCCACGCTGGATTGCACAAAAGCTCAACCGATAACCCGATTGGATGCCCACAGTTTTCAATGTCGTAAGTGGTGTGAGGGCAATATTTGTTTCAGCTTCGATTCGATTAAACATAAACAGGGAAAATTTTGTTTTTGCTCTAACGTCATTGGGGGGCGTTCGACCTGCTGTTTATTTCGCAATTCGTGCTATGTAAACTTAAAGCTATTTATAAATAGAAGATTGGAATATACACATATTGCACAATACACATGGATACACAATGAGAAATTTACAAAGAAAATCCATACGAAATCCATACATAGTTGAATGAAGTAAGTAATACTAATATTGAATGCGAAATGCTATCGATATCTGACATATCACAATTTCAGGTAAACAAAACGGATCGGTTTTCTGTCTCAATATCACAGGTAGATTGATTACAGCCATCTGACAGCCGATAGGCCCAGTATTAAATGTGTTCATAAACACAATTTGTTTATAAACCAAATACCAAATATAAATCGCCAAATGACTTTAAATAAATATTAGAAATATTACAAATTATGAATTCAGTGTTTCTTGTGCAAATATTTATGTGTAATAAGCCTTTGCATGACTTGGTTAACTATTATATCAGCTTTTATATTACATTTTCATGTTCTATGACAATTTTATGTTTGTGGCAACAGCTGCATAATTGGTTCTCATTTGTTTTCTAGCTTTAGATCTATTTAAGGTGAATGACGTATTTAGCACATATATACGAATCAGTTGAGTTCTAAAAAGTACCATGTTCACAAACATATATCACTTTCTTTCTATACACAATCAAGATCTCTTTACAATATTTTTAGATCATAGAATAATATTAGTAATAATAGTAGTCCTAAGCCTCGAAATCTGCGCAAGCGTTATTTTCAATTTAGTACTATTTTAGTACATAATAATGTTTTATTATATTTACATTTTATTTACGTACATTACAATCAATATCTGAGAGCATTTGTTTTTAATTTATAATAATATTAGTACTGCCTTAAACATTTTAATAGTTTTAGTACACCATACTATGAATTTTACTTTTAGTACATATATGTACCAAGGTATTACTTTGGTTTTCAATACTACATTATCATTTTGCTACATTTTAGTACATGTTCATAAACAAATTACTTGTACTAAATATAATAATAATACTCTTTTATCTATCACATTTTCAATACAACACTATTTTTCCAGTGCGCCACTCTATGTATTTAACACTTAGATCACTTTAGTATTATTATCTACCAGCTTAGAGCTTGTTTATATATTTCTATCTAGATACCTCATTTTCAACACGTTTTGCATTGACAACAACAGCTGAACGATATTTTATCTTGTTGACGCTTTTTAGAACACATTACTTCGGCAATTTTCACTTTCGTGCGACTTCCTCTTTCCTGTGAAAAATGGAAAACTGTCATAACTGACATGCAAATGTAACAAATCGTGTCCAATTAATCAACACAATTTTGTTTAAATACTTGGAGTGCAAGACGAAACGTTTTGACAGCTGAAGAATATGAGGAAACAGCAAACACATGTTGCGCATGAGAAGTCGGTGCTAAAACTTTGAGAGAATGACATCAATCTTATATCTTTAGCTTATCTCTGAACAACAGACAATATATAAAAGTCAAAAGCTGATTTGGGTTTTGTTTTAGTACAGCTACTTCGAAGTTTTGATTATTTATGTTTGTTGCAAAAAAAAAAAAAAATGAAAGATAAGATAGACAGCTATATGGAATATTACTGGCCACAAATGTGCGGTCTTTGCAATAATTATAAATCGGAAGTTGTTTACTTTTGGCTTTACTCCACACATCCATCAAACATTCGGCTTACTAAGCTCAACGGTAATGAACTTTGGAACGTGCAGAAGAAATCAAAAATACCAGAGCTACATGAGCTAAGTGTATGATATGCATAAATATGAATGCATTGGCCAATGATAATGAGCTGCCCAATTGAAAGGTTGTCGCATGTACTAAAAAAACGCAAGCAAAAAAGAAGTAAAACCAAATCAAGCGCAGACAAGTCATTCACTCGAAAAGTTTCAATTTTATATAAATAAATAAGTTCACATGCCAAATTAAACGAAATGCGTCACATTTCGTACGCGGCTATAAATAAAATGGCTTAAAAAAAAGAAAACGGCCTCAGGCCTAACAACAACAACAACAGTTTTAGTACTAGCGGCACAAGAAGGGCAGCCAAAATGTTCTTAGAAAAGCATAAATTATTTTATTAGCTAGTCTGGCACACATACACACACACACACTTAGATAGAGATAGCTATATGAATATGTATTACTTGGTCAGAAGTTGCGGAAATCTTAAAGTATTGTTTTAAACTCTCTCTCCCGCTCCCTCTCTCTCTCTCTCTCTCTCTCTATCCCTCTCTCTCTCTTTCTTACTCTGTGTAGCCATCTGGCTTTTAGGGATCACGCATCGTCTGCCAGTTGCCAGCAGCTTTTAATTGCAAAAGTTTACCCCAAATGCAGCACAAAATTGTTTCATATGCTCGTTTATTTTTTATCTGTCTCTCTCTCTCTCTCTCTTTTCTTTTTTCGATTTTTCCCTTGTGCCGGCCTGGCTACGCACTGTTGTCCGCGTGAATCTCTGTTTATTTTGCTTCATATACATTTGGTACAAATCTCATTCGGCCTTTCATAAACAAAATATCTCAAAAATGAATTATTGTCTAAAGGGGGGATCTCTCCCCCTCTCTCTGTCCCTCAACGATATTTAAGCACGTTTGTCTTTTGGGGCGCGTCACTTGCTCGTTCCGTCAAATGAGTCACTTGACTTGTCTTGTTTTTGGCCAAGTATCGCACAAACTACACGATATTATATCGCTATAAGCCCAAACGGGCTAACTGACGTACAAACTTATATATCTTTAAGGGTCTTTAGTGTGGCATTAGCATATTTAAGACACTTTCGCATTGATATGAGTTGATTATTTGTTTATAGCTTTGGCGAAAATGCAATGTAAACACTTTTTAGTACGCAAATTTTCAGTTTTTACCGAAAAACAAAGTGTTACAAAAACAAATTTACGGTGTGATTCATACTGCAAAATATATGAAAATATATAGAATATATTTACATCTCATTTAGTTTCCAATTAGATTGCTAATAAGATTTTATTCATTGAGGAGAGTTTAGTCATAATTTGAGGTGATGTTGTTGTTGTACAGAAACACTTTTTTAGAACAATTTGAAAGCATATTATTCACCAATTTTATAACTTTATTTATTTATATACTTTTGTTTTTAATTTTATTATTTATTTATTTACATTCTACTTTTCACTTTAAATTAAGTTTAGTTTATGGCGTACATATTTATTTATTTTAGTACATATACAAATATACTGTTATTTAATTAAAGCCCGCTCTTAAACGGCTTTTAAATTTTGAGTGTACTTTTATTCCAATCTTGACTTTAGAACAAAATCTCCTTTCTCTAGCAAAACATCTCTAGATGTTTAGGCATATATTTAGTACATTTAACAATTAGAACATATTTTGGTTTTAGTTATTGTATATATTTCACATTATATTTATAGGGGTGTTTTCGTAATTCAAACAGTCTGTACTTTATTGGTTAGTAAATTTTCTCAAACATTTAGTACACTTTAATTACTAATAAACGCTTATGTATGCATATATGTATGTACATATGGGAGGTGCATGCACTTTTGCTCTCAGAACACAAATATTCAATATTTACCAATCGCACACATTTTGTTATCTCTCCGTCTATATAATATACTATATATATCTGTTTCATTTATATACAATATATAGTACATATATTCATATCTTTATACAGAAAAAGTTTCCATTTTGCAAAGTCACGCCCATTTAGCGCAGAGATGTTACAGATGCCTTGTTCTCACCTGTGGTTCGTTAAGAATCGGTTTGGTTCGTTGCGTGTAATCCTTAAACGTTGTGCTAAAATCTCAACATTTGTAACACCAAAGTAATAAAAATCATATTTAGCTCAAGGCAAAAATTGAGTTAAATGTCGTATAGAGCTTGTTATCTTATTAGAACATAACAAATTGTGCGCTGTGATAAGCGTCGCGTCGCGCGAAATAGAAATGGATATTTCTTACGATTTCTTTGGCTATTTCACTGCCAAATTTCGCGTTCAGTTCGAATGTGTACTAAAGCGTGCGCTCATTTAGTACGGGGCTAAAGGCGAAAGGTGTGCGCGTATCAGGAAAAAAAAGTGAAATAAGGAAAACAACACTGAAAAGTGAAGGCGACAACAACTGACGACATTTCCGAAACGCCGACCGCAGCGTCTGAGGTGCGCTTAAGTACTAGACAGCAGAAAAAAAAAAACACAAACACACTCATAAACACTCATGCACACTCATACCCACACACACACACACACACATTACTCGCCGCGTCGACGGCGACACGAACATAATTCTTGTTTGCTTTGTTGCTTTTGTTTCTGCTTTTGCTTTTAGTATTTATTTACAATTTAATATTTTTCAACGCAGCGAATCGGCAATTCGTGCGACGGCCGAACATTGCAGCAGCGCAAAAACAAATACATGCACACGCATACACACACACACACGAGTAGATATACATATATCATCAGCACAGAGATAATGATTGTAAATTTATATACATTTACTACATTTGTTAACGGGAAATGCCACGCGTAATCAGCAGCCGCAACGCCCACGCTTAACCATTTATTGATAGCCCCCAATTGGCGCTTGGCGCTTACCCCCAATCGCTGATCATCGCGCGCCTCCATTCCAATTGAGCTGGCAAACCAAACTGGTCAGCCAAATGGTCAGCCGGAATGGTCAGCACCCGGTGTCGCCAGACTCTCTCTCCTTCTCTCTCTCTCTCTCTTTCTCTCTGCTGCTCTTTTGCATACTCAAATTTAGCAAGTCAAGTGTAGCCAACTACAACCAACAATGGGGAAAATTTGTAATCATTGTGATAAGGTTTATCAGTCTATAATATCTACCCCACTGATTGTCTTGGACAGCACAGTTGAGACTCAAGTACATCGGCCACAAGGCAAAAGACAATGTAGAGGCAATCAGCTGGCAACAAATTTACTAAAAATCTTAGCTCATTCTTAGCTGAATTGTACTAAAAGTGAAGTTATGCAATTTGTCATCGTTTTAATAGTGGTGCTCACTGAAGGTAATGCTTGTGATTATGCTTAATGCCATTAACAATAAATTTAAGAAGAGCTTAAAGTACACTGCGAAAAATAATAGAGTTAGAGTGAAAAATTCTAGTGGGTTCCTTTGTAGTGCAGCTAAATTAATATCGCTTAGTTCATGTGCTGATCTAAATTACTTGCATATATTGCTAATTGTTCTAAAATCGTTCAGAAAGTATTTGAACGGAATGCAATGGAGGCTGTTGCAATTTATTCTCATTTGTGTGTACTAAAAGTAAATAGAGATTTTAATAATCTATGCTCATTTGTTATATAGTTCTACTAAAAGTAAATATTTTATATAGTTGTTTAAAAGTATTTTATGACATTAATATTAAAGTTAATTTAAAGCGTAGACAACACTATAAAAAACATTTTTTAGTACATTTATATCAGGTAGGTCTATACTAATGGACAACGCACTAATACTAAGCCAAGTAACCTTAAAGTGCTAGGTAGATAAGTGTACTAAAAATACTCTATTTACTGTACAACCCACAGCATTGCACTTATCTATTTGTTTTCATTATTTCACAGTTTAATATACTTGCATGAAGCATTATGAAATAGCTATGGCCAATCAACAAATATATAATTGCATTGCTGATAGTTGTATAGCTCTAAATAGTAATCTAAAATAGTACTGCCAAACACAATTTTTAGTTGAAAATAAACGGAGTTCAACTAAATACAGCTCGTGATTTACCAATTTAATTTTTTAAGAAATGATCCTGACATATTAAAAATGTACAAATACTGGTTTAAATAATATTTAAAAAAGTAGCATTTTTAAATGTGTATAAATAACATAAGTTTTATTGTATTTTTAATAAAAAATTTATAATTTTTTTTTTGTGTGTGTTTTTWTTAATTATTCATTTTTTTTTTTTTTTTTAGGTTTGTTTATTGTAATATTAATTCATAAATTGATTAGAGTACATAAATTAAATGCTCTAATAGAAATATTCTTAAATTCATATCACTAACCATTTATATATAATTAACCTGATTTAAAAAATTTAATGCAATAATAAATATTTAAAAAAAATCATATAAGGCAATAAATAATAAAAAATGTCCCCTTTCCACTCCAACTGCAATGAATAGAAGAAAAAAGTTCCATGTCTAAGACATTAAGTATTATTAGTCGATTACCTTCTTTTTATACTTTTTCTATTCAGCATTAGAAAGCAATTCCACATAATTTCATTGTTTTTGCAGAGTAACATTAATGCGTAGAGATGTAATATAAATGTTTTTATTTAATTTTTACTGCATATTAAAGCAAAATGCTTAGTAATGACAAATAAAATAGCGTCTTGAAGTGATTTCTATAAACAAGCTGTCAGCTTGAGTTGAGCTAAATGAGGATCAGTCTATTCAACTGTCAAAGAGATAACAGCTGTAATCTTATAATCCCAATGAACCCCAAGTGACCTTTTGGCGACTGCAAGATGAAATGGTTGTTAACACCTTTCTCTCGCCTAGTCAGATGAACGTTGAGCTCGATTCGAGTGCAGTTCACATTTTGTTCAACATTTGCTTTTCATTTCGCACACTCTTCGCAGTCAAAGTTGAAAGTGTAATAAACTTGCGTGTGAAACGCACGAAAATTTTGAACAAAAGGGGCGCGCTCGCATTTCTATTCATACATTTTGCACACTACTCAACTCCACTCTAGCTGATGGACTTTCACTTTCGTCTAGCCACGATCAAAATTAAAAGAGATTCATTAGCATTTTGTTTCTGTGCATTCGCTAGGGTGCCACAGAGATTAAATAAAAGGGAAAAATTGTAACGATTGGGAAGTGAACGACTAGATGATACCCTGAGTTTAATGAAACAATGCAGTTGTAATTATGGGTGATAGAGAAAGAGAGAGAGGGGAGAGAGAGGGGAGAGAGGAGAGAGAGAGAAAGGGAGAGAGTGGGGGGGGGGGGGGGGGAACGAGAGATAGAGAATGAAAAAGCGAAAGTGGGAGAAAAGAGAGGTAGAAAGAGTACAAGAGAGAACGGGAAATTTAGAGGGTGAAAGACCAAGAGTGTGAATAACAGAGAGGTAGGAAAAAGATTAAAGAAAGAGCGAGAGATAGAGAGAAAGAGTGAGAATGAGAGAGACAAAAAGAAAGAGCGAGTGAAGTTAATACAGGGATAGAATTAACGTGAGAGAGAGTGAAAGAGCGAGACAGCAGCAGTAAGATGGAGAGAGACAGGCAGAAAGAGGGATATCAAAAAGTGCAGACAGGGAGAGAGACAGAGAGAGGGAGAGAGAGAGAGAAAGAGAGCGATGTATAAATAGAAATACACGAATTTTCTGCAGTCACTGTGATATTGTACATCAAAATAATAAAATAAATAAAATTAAAAAAAAAGCTATATATACATATTATATACTATAGTAGATTCATATTATATAGTGTTATATTCTATAGTATACTATAGCAGACCACGCCCTTCTCTGCCTATTACATACCTTTACACAAACCCATCATACCCTTTCTATCCACCTTCAATGGCTTAAGAGAAAACCTCTTAGACAATTGTCGAGACTTGAGCTGATGCGACTCAAATACAAAAACCAAAACTAAAACTAAAACTAAAACTTGAATCGTCTCAAGTCGAATCGTCTCGACTCGACTCGACTCGACTCGACTTTAACTCCTACACAATAAAACTTTGCACAATTGCAATCTCATTTTGGGGCTTTTATTTTTGCTTTTTATTTTTTTTATTTTTCGTGTTTTGCCTCAATTGCGCTGCGGCTTCTTCTTCAGGCTGCCTTTTGGCTATTTGCAGTTTGCGGAAAGCTTACGAAATTTTACCTCTAGTCGTGTATTGTTTATTGTCTTGTTGTGGCTGCGGCCACAGCCGGCCCCGTCCATTCTCAGGAGTTGTGCAATGCCGCTAGCAACTGGAACTTTTCACTGTGCACAGTGCAGGAAGTTTTCGCATAAAAAGTGAATGCCCGTTAATATTAGATAGTATAGGAGTTATATATAGGTAACTCTATATAGACCTTATACCAGGTAGCTTACTAATTGATCCCGTGCTGTGGAGTGGCACGCCTTCTGTTTCACTGTTGTTGATTGCTTATGCAAATTGGGATTTTTGCTCATTATAAGTCATATTTTCTGCTCTAATGAAATACGCGAAGCGATTGGCAACCTTGCGGCCTAATTGCTGCTAGTTCGTGGTCCAATAATTTGCTTGTACTTTTACAATTTGATTTGTTTATTTATTTCTTATTTCCTGCTTTCGTAACTGTGCCAAATCTTCGACGAATTTGTTTCGCACAGTGTATATGGTGACATTTTTATAGCGAACAAATGCAAATCGCCAAATCATTTGTGCAAATACAAATAAAGTTCGTGGGAAAACCGCAAAACTTGTTGTGATTTGATTTTTGTTTTGTGTGGCAATTTATTAAGCTGCTCTCCCTCCCTCTTCTTCTCTCTCTCTCTCTTCCTCTCTTGCTAGCCTTTGCTTGAGAGACTTGATAGAGTTCATCGTCATCGTGTTCATTATGCAAAAATGCGCTTTATGTAGAGCTCTATAAATACGTGATTGTTGCTGTTGCTGTTGTTGTTGTTGTTGTTGTTGTTGCTTGGAATGCTAATAATTGTATAAATCATCGTTTATCTTGTTGACGATTTCGTCATAGCAACTGTAACATGTTCTAAATGCGTCTTTAGCAATCGTTGTGAATGCGTAATATTTCAAGATGCCTTTTAATCTGTGCATTTCCAAGTACTTAGCCCAATAGCAATTTCTTTTCTTTTATTTTATTTATTTATTTTTTTTTTTACGGTGGAAGTCATTTCTGTTATAGAATAGTTATATACTTTGTAAGCAAACTTGTTATTCAAGAAAAGAAAATCTGAACTTTTATACCTTGTCTATGTCATGGAATGTTTAATTTAAACAAGAATCAATCAGTGAAAAGCAATATTCTCTTTCTAAAAATTCATTGATTTTATGCTCGCTTCTTATAAGATCTTTGTATTATTTATTATTTTTTTTTTTCCAATTCACATATAGCTTAGTGGATTATTTGCTTTAAAAGGTGTGTCGTAATTATT